TATCGTGGATGTCTCCCTTCTTGTACAGTAGAACGGTCCTACTGGTTTTCTGTTTTAGTATTTACTGTTTTAGTATTTAAATATTTAGTATTTAGTATTTAATACTAAAACAGTAAATACTCCAATAAACGTGACAATAGTCATACTTTTCACTCTCCCCCTAATCTGGTGGATATGAAATATACTTCACTATAATTTTTAATTCCATCCCTCTATTTTATAATGGAGATATTTTTTCATGTTTCTTGGATCTCTGATTTTTAGGAAATGCTGGCATCTTGTTTTTGCTTTCAAGCTGGCCCTAGAATTAGAAGCACCTACCTTCATTCTGAGATCTATTATTTCCCATATATGTATATGTATATTCACCAACCCATGTTAGTTATGATGAACACTTGTGCTCTAGTTTTTCCATTTCCATTAGAATCTTTTAACGCTCTAGCTAGGCAAAGAGAAGGTATGGTGTATCCATATGTGAGCAAGGATGAAAAATAGGATAAAGGATTGAGGGGATCTGGGATATGTGAATAGAAGGCCTCTGGGAGGTGTGGAATAGCAGGAAACTGACCAGGAGGCTAGATAAACTATTGGAAGCTGCCTAGAGCACAAGAGCCATACCAGTCAAGTGAACATATCATTTCTGATCTTCTAAGAATTATCTAGTGTCTGTATTATCGTCCTTTTGAGGGAGAGATGCTTCCAAAGAAGTGCGCATTAGGCCTGGGAGCTTCTCCTGGTGATTATCTGCCAGTCTGGCTGTGGTTTAATGTGAGAGATCGAAGGTGGAGTATTGCAAAGGCCCTGTGGTGCCAGAGTATCCAGGTACCCTTAGTGTTGCTGAGGGCTTCTAAGGGCTATACCCAATAGTGGTAAGAGATCATAGAGTACAGGGGATCAAATGGGCAAATGGGAGTTGACCACATGTAAGGCAAATACCTTAAATCTGGGATTATCTCACCAAATCCCTCCTCCTCTCCCTCTCTTTTTCTTTTTAACAGAACTGAGGTTCAGCAGCCACCCAGAGGACTCTTTGGAATGCCCAGAGCAGAACTGGTTATCATGCAGTAATTTACGAAGTACCATATTTGTTTTTTTTTTAATTTTATTGAATCACTGTGAAATAGTTACAAGCTTTCATGTTTGGGTTACAATCACACAATGATCAAACACCCGTCCCTCCACCAGTGCACATTCCCCACCACCAATATCGCTGGTAAACCCCCCCTTTCCCAGCCTCCCCCTGCCTCCACGGCAGACATGATTCCCCATAATCTCTCTCTACTTTTGGGCATTATGGTTAGCAATACAGACTCTGAGAGGTTATCATGTTTGTTTCTTTATCTACTTTCTGCACAGATCTTCCATCCCGACCGATTCCTCCAGCTGTCTTTTTCTTACTGATCCCTTCTCTATTCCAGCTGCCTTCTCCCCTTTGCTCATGAGGCAGGCTTCCAGCTATGGAGCAATCTATCTGTCCTGTGTATCTACTGTCCTTAGGTGTCAGCCTCATGTTATGTTATTTTATACTCCACAAATGAGTGCAGTCCTTCTCTGTCTGTCCCTCTCTTTCTGACTCATTTCACTTAGCATGATACTCTCCATGTCTACCCATTTATAAGCAAAGTTCATGATTTCATCTCTCCTGACAGCTGCATAGTATTCCATTGTGTAGATGTACCACCGTTTCTTTAACAAGTCATCTGTTCTAGGGCATTTGGGTTGTTTCCAGATTTTGGCTATTGTGAGCAGGAAGTTCCATATTTGTATACTGAGCACTGAATACCAGTTTGGGACTGAGAATTTGATTTGGTTTTGGACATGTTTGCCAATGATGAGGCATCTCCAGGTGTTTTATTGGGGCACTGGGTAGGAACTGCCTGAAGCCACAGAGAGAAGTTGAGAAACCAAAAGCTTCTTGATTAGCAGGCAGGGGCGTCTAAAATCTTACCTAGTTACTGGCTCCTGACCTGAATAGCTTGGGAGGTCCTCACACACTGCATAAAATAAATTCATTCATTCATTCATCATCCTGTTATTCGTCGATTGTCTCGAGCAGGCCCCAGTAACGTCTCTTTCCTCCTAGCCCTGAGATTATATTCAAGGCTCTTTAGGAGAATGAGAACCATCATTGTTACTGGTATTTGGCATATTTGGTACGCCAAGGGGAGTTTGCCAGACTCTGCCCTATGGGCAGGCTACATTCGATAGACTGCAAGTTTGTCCAAAGTAGGAATGAGATAATAAGATGTCATAAGAAGATGTCCTGATAAGATGTCCTGATAAGATGTCGCGCGGCCGTGAATGCGGCCACGCAGTTCCGGGAGCTGTATTTTATAGTCTCTGAGTCTTGGCCGTTGATGGGATTACACGGTGCCAGGGGGCCAGGTGGCAGGTGTGACCCCTGCCTACTGGAATTTGGAGGATCTGGGTGGAGGATGCTCGACTCCAATCCGAGTAGGCTTGGAGATCTCGGCCCCGGAACCCGCGTGGCTTTGTCCCTCTGCCAGTACCTTCATGTGTGCGGAGAGTGGTCTCAGCATGGTGGTGGCTGGTCCTGGAGGTCTTCGGCTGCCGGAGCCCTGGTCGGGGTGGAGAGGAAAGCTCAACCTGCTCCCCTCCAAGGGGCCCCGGCGAGGAACAGCCAGGTGCGGGGGCAGGAGACTGCCGAGGCCGCTTTCCGGACACATTATAAAACACTTTCTACTCATTTTTCCACAATTACTATACCATGTCTGATGGAGTTCAGACAGTAGGCAATGGGTCATAGAGAAAAATATGTATAACATATGCCTGTTGGAGAGCCCAGCAAGCTACTGAGAGTATCCCGTTCGCACGAGCAGAGTCTGGCAAGCTCCCCTTGGCATATTCAATATGCCAAATACAGTAACAACAACAGGTCTCATTCCCTTGACCCTGAAAGAGCCTCCAATCATTGGGAAAAGACGAGTAAGAAGAGGCTGCTAAAATCTCAGAGCTGGAAGGAATAGAGACATTGTTACTGGCGCCCACTCAAGTAATTCAAAGATCAACAGGGTGACAGTGATACAGTGAGACAGTGATTTGCTTATTTATTTTGCTTTTTAGGTCACACCCATCGATGCATAGTGTCATTTCTGGCTCTGTACTCAGGAACTACTCCTGGCAGTGCCTGGGGGACCATATGGGATGCTGGGGATCAAACCTGGGTTGGCCACGTGTAAGGCAAATGCCCTACCCACTGTGTTCTTTCTCCAGACCCTACATTTATCTATTAAGGAACAGGTAACACTTAAGCAGTTCCAGGGATTAGGTCCACATTAGGTCCACACTGCATAAGAGAAAGGAGAAGAGCTTCCTCTTGAGCTGTCTCAATAACGCCTTAAGAGTTGGGTGACTCAGAGATTGTGACTCAGTCTGATCATCTGCAAATGGATATAGCTATTTGGGTGTTTTTAGATCCTTGGAACACATGATCACAAACCGTGGTTTAAAATAACAGAAATTATTTTTTTCTCCACAGTTCTGGAGGCCAGAAATCTAAAATATATTTCACCTGGTCAAAAATCAAAGTGTCAACAGACACTACAGAGTTATTCAGGGGCTAGGGAAACCAGGTTAATCTATTTTTCAATCCTTAATTTAATTTTCAAAATCTTAGTTCATATAAGGATGTCAAAATTCAGAAATAAGAGATAAAACCAATGAGTCACTTAAACAATAATGAGAAGTTCATTTTGCACACACCAGTTCGCAAATCAATAACACAAACCAAACATTAAAATGAAGCCCCATAGGTATATTGTTACAGGCTTGTTCATAAAGTGAAAACGTAGTGATCACACTTTTCATTAGTGATTGGCTAAAATATCAATATTTTCATAATGATAGAACCTTGGCGAGTGATGACCTCAGATCAACTTTGGGAAGCAGGGTGAATTTTGCTTATCATTTTCAGATGCATGAGCAGGAAGTGACAGAGGTCAAGTTACTCTTGCAAAATAAGCTAAATTAAATTTTCCTTGTATGACTCCACCGGTTGTGTCTGCTCAGGAGAACGTCAAGGTTGATTTTCATTTATTTATTTTTAAGGAACAGGTATCACTCAAGCAATTCCAGGGACTAGATATCTAAAAGGGAGGCGAGGAGAGGCATGATAAATTGCCTATTACATTCAAAAGCTGTTTTGAGGAAATCAGCGAAAGCTGTTAGAGCTTTGTCCCGTGTGTTAATAGAGAGGAGAGAGTATGTATATTTTATCTAATAAGAGGTTTCTAAGAAAGTCTTCTTGGGGGCTGGAGCGATAGTACAGCGGGTAGGGAGTTTGCCTTGCACGCGGACAACCTGGGTTCCATTCCAGCATCCCATATGGTCCCCTGAGCACCGCCAAGGGTAATTCCTGAGTGCAGAGCCAGGAGTAAGCCCTGTGCATCGCCAGGTGTGACTCTAAAAGCAAAAAAAAAAAAAAAAAAAAAAAAAAAAAAGGAAAGTCTTCTTTATAGAGCAGCAGTAAGGTTCAAACAAGACCCAAGTGTACACCTACAAGGAAGGGTACAGGAAGATTGCACAAGTAACAACGAAGGCAATAAAACCGAGGTTTACAATCTGTTTCTGCACTCCCAGGACTCTAAATTGCAAGCCTCCGACCCCGCCCACTTACTTTCGGGCTACCTGGAGGCACCGACACGCTACCCAGAGACCACGCCCCCTTGGGGCTTTGCCCCGCCCACCTAGTTGGGCGGTCCAGTTTGCGATGGCCGAGACAGGCCCTTAACCGTCTGTCCATCATTATCCCCATCAAACGTGAACTGCTTTTGTCCGATTATTCCAGCATTTAAAGTCTTTCTATAATTTTTCAAAATCATATATACCTTTTGGAGTCTTCGTCTCTGGAATTTCCTTGTATTTCGTTGCCAAAAAACGAGGAAAATCTGCGAAAATCAAACCGGCACTATTTAAGACACCCCAAGCGTGAGGCGCGGGGTCCTTACGTCGCTCGGGCGCTGAGCCCGGGGGCCGGCCGGCCGCGCAGGCGCAGTGGGGGGCGGACTCGCCATGCCGACTGTCAGCGTGAAGCGCGATGTGCTCTTCAAAGAGCTAGGCCGGACCTACAGTGAGTGCTGCTGGCCTTTTGGTTCGGGCTCTGTGCCTCGCCGCCGAGGCCGGGACTCCCTCCAAAACGGCAGCGTTGGGCAAGCGTTGAACGCTGCCCGGCCGGGCTTGGCTTCGGGATAGTCGGGAAGGGCCTTGAGCCGCCGAGGCGGCCGGGCCAGGCTGGGGCAGCTTTTCTGGTCTTGCATCCCCAGCTCATTGCTCGTTCCCTTCCCACGGGCTCACCCCGGGCATCCCGGCCAGGGGAGAGAGAGCACGGGGACCCGGCCCCGGGTTTGCACCCCGGGGGCTGCTAATTCAATGCAATGAGATGGGCGCTAATTCAATGCAACGAGACGGGCGCACCATGTTCCACGGGTCCGGGGGTGGGCACGCGAGAGGAGGAGCTGGGGGGGCGATTGCACCCCCACAGCGTGGGTGTTTTTTTGTTTGTTTGTTTCCTGAGCACCCTTTGGAGGTGCCCGGTGCGGCTCTGGTGCTCTTTTAAGACCTAAGGGTCCGCGCTCAGGTCCTAACTAGGGGCGTCAGTGGTCCAATTTAGCTGCATGGATACAATGTTGCTCTTACGATGCCACGACAGCTGTGGAGGAATTAAAAAAGGCGGCTGTGCCCAGAACCACGTTAGAGAGCGTCCGTCACTTGGGAGCTGATACTGAGACTGAAGTCTTTTTAAATTTATTTTGCGATGCTCAGGGGTCACTCCTGGCTCTGCACCCAGGAATTAACTCCTGGCGGGGTTTTGGGGGACCATATGGGATGCTGGGAGTCGAACCCGGGTCGGCCGCGTGCTAGGCAAATGCCCTAGCCGCACAGTCCAGCCCCTGAGACAGAAGTCTTAACGCGTCCACGGTTTTCCTGCCACACGTCAACCCTCGTGTTTTTTTTTTTTTTAAATTGTGATACAGTTGTGTTGTATACCAGTAGTGACATTCATTTGACTTGTGGCGTTGGGGGTTTTGTGGTTGGTCCGTCCCCCTCCCCCCCCCCCCCCCCCCCACAAACACGCTTTATTTAAACACTTGATGTGCAACGTTGTTCATGGTCAGTGCCTTGGTCATTTCAACACCAATCCCACCAACACGATCACTTTTCCCTCCTCCACTGTCTCCAGTTTCTCCACTACCTCTCAAGCCCACGCTAATTTTATACTGTTTGTTGACCACTGAATGACTGGTGGAATGATAAAAAAATACTTAAGTGAAAGGAAATTTGTGAAAATTGTATCTCATCGTGGGAACATTAAGTCCTCCTCTGAGGTTTTACTACGCTCTTGTTGCAAATTAAGCCTTCCTTCTGGGTTCATGTTGATGAGATTAGTTGGCTTCTGTGTTCCCCATCCTATCTGATGTGCTCCTTCTGGGATGTTGGTTTGGATGGAGTTGGGAGGTGTCAGGTTGCTGCCAGGGGCATTTAATTTGACATGTGTATTACTCTGAAAAATTCTCTTTAGTTCAAATTACCCTGGCAAGCAAACATTGTGAATTTCTTTTTCTTTTTTTTTTTTTTTAACAATTTAAGAGCATTGGTGAAATCTGTTAAGCCTGTTGATCAGTTACAGACTGAGTTATGAGAGTAGTACTGATTTTAGAGCTCAATATATCTCTGGTAAGTTTAAGAAATCCGCTTTATAGTATATTACCTAGGCCCAGAGATAGCTCAGGGGGTAGAGATCAAACCTTTCTTGCATGAGGACCTGCATTTGGTTCCCAGCTTCGGCAAGAAAAGAATGTTTCCTTCTTTTAAAAAATGTTTCTAAAGGTGTACTTGGTCAGGAGAGATAGTACAGCAGGTAAAGAGATTGTTACGGTCCCCAGAGCACTGCCAGGAGTGATCCCCGAGCACAGAGCCAGAAGTAAATCCCGCGAGATTGGCCTACGTTCCCTGCCTCCCTGAACTCTTATATACTATGTAATTTTGAAGTGTTATTACTTGTTGTAGTTTTGGGGGCACTCCCTGAGGTTTTGGGGGATTATTCCCTGCCAGGCCCTTATTTATATTTTTATCCATTCTTCTAAACAGCATTCTCACTGTATCACAGAATACACCTGAGTAGTACAAGATGGTAAAGCAATTATTTGTTCAAGATGCAGATCAATTCCCTTTTAAATATTTAATCTCTAGGAAAGTGAATAATTGCAGGTTTTTAAAAGATGGAGAATTTTTAACCTATTTACTGAGCGATAGCACAGCGGTAGGGCGTTTGCCTTGCACGCAGCCAACATGGTGGACCCGAGTTCGATTCCTCCGCCCCTTTCGGAGAGCCCGGCAAGCTACCGAGAGTATCTCGCCTGCACGGCAGAGCCTGGCAAGCTCCCCGTGACGTATTCGATATGCCAAACACAGTAACAACAAAGTCTCCAATGGAGACGTTACTGGGCTCGCTCGAGCAAATCAATGAACAACGGGAGGGCCTTTACCTTACCTTATACTCTTACCTGGGCTGGAGAGGTAGCACAGTGGGTAAGGTGTTTGCCTTGTACGTGGCTGACCCGGGCGACCTGGGTTCAATTCCTCTGCCCCTCTTGGAGAGCCCGGCAAGCTAGCGAGAGTATCTCGCCCGCACGGCAAAGCCTGGCAAGCTCCCCGTGATGTATTTGATATGCCAAATGGAACAACAAGTCTCACAATGGAGATGTTACTGGGCCCACTCGAGCAAATCCATGAACGGGAGGACAGTGCTACAGTGCTACTGTTCCCTGACATTTTAATGTAGTGTATTGATCCCCTTTTTCATATCGAGAACTCAGATTCAGGTAAACTCAGTTTTCCTTAAGTGTCTTATTATGATAAGATATCATAAGTTAATGATCGATGTTACTCAGTACAGATCAGAAATGATACTCATTAGTTTGCATTTCATCAGTTCTTTTTGAAAGCTTTTGGTTTTTATTTTTTGGGTCACACCTGGCTGTACTTAGAACTTACTCCTAAATCTGCACTTAAGGATCATTCCTGGTGGTGTTCAGGGGCTGGGGGGGGGGGGGGGGGAACCATCTGGAGTGTGGGGGATCAAACCCAGGTTGGCTGTGTGCAGGGCGAGTGCCCTACCCACTGTCTATCCCGCTGACCTCTGGAAACCTTTTATCTGTATTTGGGTTGAGGGCAAAGTTGGGAAAGCAGGTTTGACTTAGTACCTGATTTTCAACATCATGAACCCATTTTTCTTGCCTGTCACTTTTTTTCCCTTTCCTTTTTCAGTCTTGCTTTCTGCTTGTCTAAAAGTCCATCATTTCTACCACAATTCACAATACCCTTTTATTATCTCTTTGTTCATGATGTTTCTCAAGTTGCTTTTGTTTTGGAGATCATTTTGGTTTGGGGGGAGCAGTTTTAACGTACTCTCTTTAATATCTTTATGCTCAGTTTTTTTTTTTTTTTTTTTGCCTTTTGGGTCACACCGGTGATGCTCAAGGATTTCTCCTGGCTCTGCGCTCAGGAATTACTCCTGGCAGTGCTCAGGGGACCGCATAGGATGCGGGGGATCACACCCGGGCTGGTCGCGTGCAAGGAAACACTCTCCCTGCTGGACTCTCGCTCCGGCCCCGCAGATGTTTTTCTTATTATCACTGTTCTTCGATTCTGATCCTGTTTTGCCTCGGTGTAATTCCCTGCAAGATTGTGTCGGAACAATCTGTGTGATTCCTGAAAGCCCCTAATCTGTACTCCTAGTGGTGAGTCATATTTTTGTTAGAAGGAATCGTGACTCACAGTGTTCTATTGCTCTTTACATCTGAGCATATTAGGACGCTCAGAAAGGGATCGTATGATGGTTCGGATGCAGTTTTCATAGTTACATGTAATTCATTTGGGATAGCATCTGCTTTCAGTACCCATGTAGTTACCAATGGTAACATAATAAAGTACTCCCACATTTAGCTGAAAAGTCATTGGTTCAATTATTGATTCTAAGGATCAAGAATTGGGGAGTGCTGGAGTGACAGTGCAGTAGTTAGTGTTTGCCTTGCGGGCGGCTGACCCGAGTTCAATTCCCGGCATCCCGTATGGACCCCAAGCACCACCAGGAGTAATTCCTGAGTGCAGAGCCAGGAGTAACTCCTGTGCATTGCTGGGTGTGACTCAAAAAGCAAAAAAACAAAAAACACTGGGGAGCAGCTTATCTGGGGACCTGGTTCTGGGTTTCTGACCAGGATCTAGTAAATGAATCAGGTTTCTAAGTCATCTCAAGGCCTAACTGGAGCTGTGGAATCTAATTCCAGATTCACTTTTGATCTGACCTCATCCTTTTAAAAAAACAAACAAACAAACACTTTTTCTTGTTTGCATCTCCTGGCAGATCTTGTGGGCACAGAGCCCACTCCTCGGGCCCAACAGCACCTGTCGTGAAGCTTGGGCTCAGTGCTCAGAGGGACCCACCAGCTCCACACCCAGGGATGCTTGAGGACCATATGCTGCCAGGGGTCAAACTTGGACCTGGCACATAAGAGGCACGAGCTTTTTTTTTTTTTTTTTTAATAGGTTTTATTGGATCACGTTGAGATACAAACTTGCATAATTACATTTCAGTCACACAATGTTTGAGCACCCATCCCTCCACCCATGCCCATTTTCCACCAACATTGTTCCCATTTTCCCTCCCGCCACCCCTACCCCATCCCACTCCCTGCCTTTGTGGCAGGTATAATCCTTCTTGCTCTCTCTCTGATTTGGGGCGTTATGATTTGCGATACAGATACTGAGAGGCCATCATGTTTGGTCCTTGGTCTACTTTCAGCATACATCTCCCATCCCGGGGCGATCCCGCTAAACCCTCATCAACTTAGTGGTTGCTTCTGGCTAAGATCAAGTGTAGGCACGCGCTTTTGAACTCTCTCCCCAGCCCTGAGCCATCTGTCCCTTTCCCGTGATTTGTCCGTAAGAGTGCTGGCACGGGGTGGCCTGTTTGCCCTCAGCACGAGGTCCAAGAGCGCCGGGAATTGAGTGCACTCATGATGGAAGGCACTGGCATCTCAGAAACAGCCCGTCCTTTGCTACTCTGGGCCAGTGACTTTCAGCTTTTTAGCCCAACCATTTGAAAGTATGTGCTCTCGGCCCTTTGGGCTCCCTGACACTCTTCAGGAAGTGTCTGAGAAGTAGGAATTGGGGGGGGGGGGCAGTGGCGATCTGCTGGGCAGGTCTGGCCCTGGTCTCTCTCTCATCAGGATGCCTTCAGGCTTGTAGCAGGACCCACAGATGGTATGCCCAGATTCACTCCTGTATGGGGTGTGGAGACCAGGAGGCAGGAATCATTCGGGGCACCTCTTCCCCCCACCCACCCGCTTGTCAAGTCCAGCAGAGCACCCTCGACTTCTCGCCCACCCACTGTGCCCACCTCCCACTCACTCATTCATGCCTCTTGACTGTCTCCATGTCCTCCTTCTGCTTCTCCGTCACTGCTGCTGCTTGAACTGTCCCTGGGGTGTCTCTGGCTGTGGCAGGAGACTCCCGGCTCCAGTCCCTCCCCCCACCTACGATGCCCACGTGATGCATTTGCCCAGCTGAGAACTCTTCACCGGACCCTGGCCGCAAAGGACCAATCCCTTGGCAGACCTTGACCTGTTCCCGCCCCCCAGCCCCAGTCCCGAGCTTCCTGAGTGTCTCCCTTTCCAGACCTGCCATGCTCTCGCTTCATCCCGCATCTCTGCCAGATGAATTGGTCCTCTGTGGGAAAGCTGAACTGACCCGAAGTTAATTCTTTGTGCCACCCCCGTAACTTGCTCCTGAGTGTGTTTGCACATCTGGTTTCTTGAGTCAAGTTGGAAGTAGTGAAGGCCGCAGTCTTGTTTTCATGGTTTTGTAGTATTTGGGTGTTTTTTTTTTTTTTTTTTTTTTGGCCTTGTGCTCTACCCCAGCATCTGGTCTATAGTGAGCTTCCCATGTCAGGATCTGCAACTTTGGACTAGTTTTTCCCCAGAGTAGACCGGCAGTGATGCTTTGTACTCAGCTTTTGGAAATAAGAAAAATCCCGAAACTGTCAGCTATAGCAAGATAATTCAAGAATGAGAAGTATTTGAAAAAAAAAAATTAAATTTGAGGCACCCCAGGTTACAGTACTGTCCTTGATAGGGTTTCACGACTGGTGTTCCAACCCCGTCCCCACCACCAAAGGGCCTGCTGCCCTCGCTGCCCTCCACCATGGTGTCAGTGAAGGATGAGAACTGGTGGGCCTACTGTGTTTCAGGACACCGCGTCAGGCCCCTCATCCCCGCGAACTCATTTAAACCTTTCCAACAGCTGCAGGGTACACATAAATGGTGCCACTTTATGGATAAATGTTGCCATAAGGTGCCAGGCTCTTCTCAGAACTCAGAAGGTGAGAGTCAGAATTCAGGCTTGGATTAGTCCGATGTGTCAGTGGCAGGACTTACATAACGTCCTTCCATTGTGCTCCAGAGTCTACTTTACATTTGATCTGACTCAGCAGGTGTTTTTCTCCTTGGTGAATGTGAGCTTCCCGGTACAGGTAGCCAAGTTCTGTGCTCCATACGAGAATGGACGAATCAGGCCTATAATAACTTTATTTTTAAACAAATCCCCTACCTTTCTCCCCAAAGGGTTTTTTTTTTCTTTTTGGGTCACAACCGGTGATGCACAGGTGTTACTTCTGGCTCTGCACTCAGGAGTTACTCCTGGTGGTGCTCAGGGGACCATATGGGATGCTGGGAATAGAAACCCGGGTTGACCGCGTGCAAGGCAAACGCCCTACCCGCTGTGCTATGGCTCCAGCCCCTCTATGCACATTTTTTTTTTGCTTTTTGGGTCACACCTGGCGATGCACAGGGGTTACTCCTGGCTTTGCACTCAGGAGTTATTCCTGGCAGTGCTCAGGGGGCCATATGGGATGCTGGGAATAGAAACCCGGTTGACCGCGTGCAAGGCAAACGCCCTACCTGCTGTGCTATCTCTCCAGCCCCTCCCCAAAGTTTTTTGATCATGCTTACTTTGGTTTGTTTTTAAATGATTATATCTGATGTCTGACATTAAGTGTACTTGTTGTAAAGCAGTTGATACAAAAATGAAATTTATATGCTGTTTTATGCTGAACACTCCTTTTTTTTTTGTTTCTTTCCCCCCCTAGCTGACGAAGAATTTGACGAACTGTGTTTTGAATTTGGTCTGGAACTTGATGAAATTGTACGTACTGGATATTTTTTCACACGTTTGGATTATTTGTTACTCTATGGGAACATTTGTGGGCCCCCAGGGTTGACTGTTGCTATGTTTGGAAGGGGCAGTCACTTAAGTGATCAGATGAGCAGACCCTTGCAGGCAACAAGGAGAGAGGCATTGAGGTTTTTTTTTTTTTTTTTTTTGCAAAACTATCATCTAAAAGGGGCTGGGAAGGCGTAGAAACGTTGCTTAAGCCAGAGGTGCTGGTGTCCTTGGCCGCCGCCCCTTCAGCACCTCAGTGTCCCTCCCTTGTCTGTTATTTAGCCATCACTATGAATTTTTGTTTGTTTGGGGGAGGGGGGGCGTCACACCCAGCAGGGCGTCAGGGCTTTCTCCTGGCTCTAAGCAAGCTCAGGGATTCCTCCTGGACTGTCTGTGGTACCGGGGACTGAGCCAAGGTCAGCTGCATGCAGGGCATGCGCCCTGCCCACTGTACAGTGACCTCTCTGGCCCTGGTCAGGTCAACTTTTTATTACAGAATCTGTTTTATTATGGAACGACAAAACTATTAGAGAGATTGTTGGTCATTTTGTATAAACACAGAGCTAGAGCCATAGCGCAACGGGTAGGAGCCAGGCTTCGCATGCAGCCGACCTGGGCTCAATCCTCGGTACCCCCATTTGATCCCCTGAGCCCTCCCTCCTGCCAGAAGTGATCCTTGAGTGGGAGGCAGGAGTAAGTCCTCAAACAAAAGCAAAAGGGAACACACACAAACTTTTTTTTTTTATTAGTGAGACATCATTATTAGTGAGGTACAGTTGTAGACTTACAAATTTTTGAGCTTGGGTTTCAATTATACAATGATCAAATACTCATTCCTCCGCCCGTGCCCATTTCCCTCCACCACGGATCCCAGTATCCCTCCCACCCCTCACAATCCCCATCCCTCCCTGCCTCTGTGGCAGGGCATTCCCTTTTGTTCTCTCTCTCCTTTTGGGTGCTGTAGTTTGCAAAAGAGGCATTGAGTGGCAATCCTGTTCGGTCTAGAGTCTACTTTCAGCATGCTTCTCCCATCCTGGGAGGATCCTCCCAACACCTTTATTTTGTGTTCCCTTCTCTATCTGAACTCCCTTTTCCCCTAGCATGACACACAAACTTTTTACAAGCTTATATGTTGACCCATTAGGAGAATAGTTGATTGCTCCTGATCTTCCGAATCAGGCTACGCCATCAGATTGGCGTCTTGAAACCCTCTGTCCATCTTTTGCATAACAGTGTGTGAATAATTCAGGTCAGGAGCTCAGTAAATTGCTAGATGGGTCATTTCAGAGTTAATATAAAATTATATTTTGAATCTTTAATTTTTATTACGGGGCGACACCTGATGGTGCCTGGGGCCAGCCATAAAGTGCCAGGATTGGAGGGAACCCAGGGCCTGGCACAGTTGAGACATGTGCTCTGCTACGAGTCCCATGCCGGCAGCAGAGTGGGCACACCGCTTAGTGTAGCGGCCAAGGGGCTGTTTTTGCATGCAGCTGCCCTGGGTTGGATCCTTAGCATGAGTAAGACTTGAGCACTGTGGAGCGTACCCCCCCAAACCGAAAATAAAACAAGTAAAGGACAATCTGCTACTTTTATCTTCTGTTTTGTTTTGTTTTTGTTTTTTGGGTCACACCCGGCGATGCTCGGGGGTTACTCCTGGCTCTGCACTCAGGAATTACTCGTGCTCGGGGGACCCTATGGGATGCTGGGAATCGAACCCGGGTCGGCCGCATGCAAAGCAAACGCCCTACCCGCTGTGCTATTGCTCCAGCCCCAATCTGCTACTTTTAAAAAGATTACAACTATCTCGGTGCAAGGTTCTATTGTCTATTAGTCTTTTTTTTTTTTTTTAGCATTTTCTAGCATATAAGGGATTAAATACTTTTAGATATTTTTAATTGAAAATGACGTTGAATTATTAGATTTCCCACGTGTGTCATTATAAATTAGCAATGTATAGGTGTTGCCTTCTCTTTCCTTCAAAGAATCCTCATTGTCTTTTAAATTCAAGACTGGCAGACCCTTTCTGTAGAGCGCCAGGTCTGACCCAGCTGAGACTTTATATAGACTGTAGGCTAGTCTGTGGGGCCACTTGCAGAGATGCGTGTAGCTTAGTGGGCCTGGCTGTGTTCCACCCAGGCTGTACATTCGAGAACAGTGGCAGGTCAGCGGGCCGGCCAGTGCTTGCCCACCCTGACTTTAGATGACCCTTGCTCTTTCGGGATGAGTGAAGACGTCGGTCCTTGGCGAGAGTCAGGTCTGATGGCATTTACTGTTTTCGTATTTTGTTGTTGCCGGTATAACAGACCTTAACTTACTGGGTAGAAGGGCACGTATACTATTGCCATTGCTTCAGAGGACAACTGCTTTTCAACCCTTTATAGAAAAAAAAATTGTGTTTGTTTTAGACTTCAGAAAAGGAAATTATAAGCAAGGAGCAAGGCAATGAGAAGGCCAAGGGTGCCTCTGATGTTGTTCTCTACAAGATCGATGTCCCTGCCAACCGATATGACCTCCTCTGCTTGGAAGGATTGGTTCGAGGGCTTCAAGTCTTCAAAGAGAGGTGAGGGGATTTGTTTGCTGAGTGTTCTGCCAAGTTGGTTTTCTTTGCTATTGTTGGTAACCCTGGGTAGATGTCTAGGGAAAAAAAGACGAGGGCAGGAGTGATAGTACAGCTGGTAGGGTGCTTTCCTTGCATGCGACTGACCCGGATTCACTCCTTGGCACCCCACTCTGGTCCCCCGAGTCCTGCCAGGATTGATTCAGAGTCAGGAGTACGCCCTGAACACTGCTGGCTGTGGCCCAAAAACAAAAAGCAGAAGAATAAAAGATTGCCGGTCAGGTCCTCCGCCTTAGGTCTGCATAAAGGAATGATTGAAGGGTGAGATTCTTGTAGATCATAACCATTTGAAAATTCACTTCTGTGTTAATTTCCACTGTGGTGCATATATATATATATATATATATATATATTATATATGTATATGTATATTTCTTTTTGGGTCACACCTGGCAATGCACAGGGGTCACTCCTGGCTCATGCACTCAGGAATTACTCCTGGCGGTGCTCAGGGGACCATATGGGATCCTGGGAATTGAACCTGGGTTGGCCGCGTACAAGGCAAATGCCCTGCCTGCTGTGTTATCACTCCAGCCCCTGTGGTGCATATTTTAAAGTGTAATATATTTGGCTCATTTAAAAATTCTTGAATGGGGGCAGGAGTGATAGTACAGTGGAGAGGGCACTTGCCTTGTATGTAGGCTACCTTGTATGCAGTTCGATTCCCGAGCATTGCCTGGAGTAATTCCTGAATGCAGAGCCAGGAGAAGCCTCTGAGCGTCGCTGAGTATGACCCAACAAGAAAAAAAAAATCTTGAATGGGTCTGGAGAGATTTGCCTTACCTGTGGCTGTAGCTGTGAATCTGGCTTGGAACCACAGTATTATGTGTGGTTTCTCCGAACACCTCTAGGGATCACACTTGAGCACACAGGTGGGAATAGCCCCTGAGCACTGCCAGGTTTGGCCCAAAATGCTCTGCCTCCCCTCAAAAAAACCCAAATAATATTTGAGTGGATTTAGGTGAATTGCCTCAGTAGTTCAGTTGCAATAGATTGTTCTCTGGATTTGTTTCGGTTGGGAGAGAGAGCAGAGCTAGCGGAGTTGTATTCTTAAATTCCAAGAGAGCTTGGAGTAGCTCTTCCTAGCTGGTAAAATGAAGGTTTTATGTGCTGGCTCTGTGAGAGATCTGTTGGAACCAGATAATTGGTCTCTCTGGTTCCAGGTCCTTTACACTGAACTTTTTTGTCTTGTGTGTTGTGTGTGTATATTTTCAAAGAGAAGGTCATACCCAGCAGAGCTGGGAATGGGGAGAGGCAAGGTTCTGATGGTTCAGTAATTGGGCTGGGCAGTGTCAGGAGTTGAACCCAGGACTTCAGGACCTCACAGCCTTGCCTACGCTAGGCATGTGCTCTATACCGCCTGGACTGTCTCCCCCCGGTCCAGTGAAGATTTTTAAGTCTCCTTCCTCTTCATGGAAAAACTAGACAAGTGAAGAATATATAAATTGAAAATGACGTGAAGCAATTACCAGCCGCTAAATAGCAAGTATCTTTGTTTTTTTTTGTTTGTTTGTTTGTTTGTTTGCTTTTTGGGTCACACCCGGCGATGCTCAAGAGTTACTCCTGGCTCATTCACTTAGGAATTACTCCTGGCAGTGCTCCGGGGACCATAGGGGATGCTGGGGATCGAACCCAGGTTGGCCATGTGCAAGGCAAACGCCCTACCTGCTGTGCTATCACTCCAGCCCCGTAGCAGGAACTTTCAAAACTCCAGAGGGTGCGGGGGTGATGGATTAGATCATAGATTAAGGTGGTTGACTTTGGCTGAGAACCTAGTTGATGCCCTCCATGATGGTCAGACTCGGATATGTTTATTTTCAGATCACACACAGCAGTGTTTGGCGGCTGTTTCTAGCCTGATGCTGTGGGTCAGGGTCAGAGAGGACCATGCAGTGCTGGAGGGTCCAGCCTGGGCCCTCCACAGGGTGAAGTATTGCTCCAGCCCTCTGAGGCCTCTCCTCCGTCCACCTGACGGTAGTGGTTTTGGAGAATGCAGGGGTCAAGGCGCTTGCCTTGCAGGCGGCTCACTGGGGTCCCATCCCCGGCATTGCACATGATCCCCTGAGAACCTTCCACACCTGAGCACAGAACTGGGGGAAGCCCTGAGCCTCGCTGTCTGGGGCCCCCAGACAGTCACCAATAGCAGATTCCAGCCTTTTGCACAAGGGGACTGGTGGTTGAAGATCGCTGTGTTTCCCAAACCTGCCTGGTTTCGAATGTCTGTTTTTTGCGTATGCCTTTTTTTTTTAAAAATGATGACTGAGAATTAGAAAAGGGTTTGTAGAATAACATTGGTTTGTCCTTTCTCCCTTGCTACCGGGAGCTTAGGTTTTTCGGGTAATACCCATCACAGTGCTCCTGAAGTACCTCCATTCCTCTGTGTTTATTGGAATGTTCTTTGGACCAGCACTGTCTGTCTGCATGCCCCAGGAGCTTGTCAGAAACTTTACCTCTCCGCCTATGGAATCAGAATTGATGGCTCGGTTCATTGTAGTCGCGCCGAGGTTTGAAAAGCCCTGACATAAAACTGCTTCCTGCCCTCTCCCAATATGACTCACCTAGATTTCAAAAGATGCCGCTTAGGCCCAGAGAGATGGTAGAGGAGGGAAACCACTTGCCTTGCATGTGGCTGACCCAGGGTTAAGGTACCTGACACTGCATATGGTCGGCTGAGCACGGGTGGGCTAACTCCTGAGCACAGAGCCAGGAATAGTCTGAGCCCCTCTGGGCTGGCCAAAGCAGGATCTCCCCTCTCCCCCCCATTCCCCCCGGCAGGGTACCTTTATCAGACTGGCCTTTCTTTCCCCTGAGTACCAGATTCAGCGAGTCCAGGTGAGACCTGGCTGTGTGCTTCCCTCCTTTCTTTTTGGTGGGGTTTGGGTGACTCTGGGCTTCCTCCTGGCTGTATGCTTAGAGGTCACTCCAGGAGTACTCGGGACAGACCATATGTGATGCTGAGGGTCGAACGGAAGCACATTTTCCTCAGCAGCTCAGACAGACTCTCATGGGTGCCGTAGACTTCCTTCCATCTTCCTTTATTATCCGTATGAAGAGGTCCATGGTGTGCGGTCTCAGGGGTCTGAGCTCTGGAGCTCGTCTCTGGAGATGCTGTACTCCAGCTTCCTGGCACTTGCCTGTGTTTGGGTGGGGGGATGGGTTTCCAAGCAGAGTTCAGAGGCATCAGGACCCTCTTTCTTGATATTCTGCCAACAGGGCAGGGAGGGGGGCCCTGGGGGTCACTCCCACAGGGCTAGGGGTACCTGCGTTGTTGTTCATCAGCCCAGCAGTTCTCCGAACCCCATGCTTGGGCAGGTTTGGGGAACTTACTCCTGGCTCTGTGTTCAGGGATCAATCCTGGTGGGGCTCAGGGGCCATTCCGGTGCTGGGAATAGAACCAGAGCCAGCCACTTGCCAGGCCAGCACCCTCCCTCCTGACTGTGGCTCCGGCCCATTTTGGCACCTCTTATTGCTTCTTTATGTAGTCACAGTTCTGGGGAAAAAGATCTTTAGGGTTATCGGTCAGCCCCTTAGCTGATGTTTAAGTGCCGCTGCATGCTTAGTCGGTGAATTTCCTGCCCCTCTGAGTGAGGTTCCAGTGGTTGGTCACTTGTTACTATGGGCGTCTTATGCCACGGTTGGACAATGTTTAATGTTGGAAGCTTCGCTTTTTAAACTTTTTTTTTTTTGGCTTGCTATCAAACCTCAACTTCTTCTGATTCTGTTTTACTTTACATACCTTCTATGCACAATAGAATATAATTGACTAATGAAATGTTCTGCTTAGTAACAGGCATTTGTCTTGACATTGTTTTAGGATAAAGCCTCCAGTATTTAAACGGGTATCGCCTAAAGGAGAAATCCAGAAATTGTTCGTCACAGAAGAGGTAATAATGATAAATTATTTCCAAAAATTTTTTTGTGTACCTATATAAAATGGGAAGGAGAAAGGGCCCCCTTTTCCAAATATAATTTTCTTCAATCTTTTCCTAGAAATGTTGTAGTGTATTTAGCAGTTCTTAAGATTTTAAAATTTATTTTTACCAAGAATTACATAGGGAATAAGGTGTCTGATTTCCATGACTCATTTTGGAAAATATTCAGACATCTAAGATACATTTGAGATCTAATTGTTTAAATTGTGGTACTTACAAAATAAAAACACATGAGAATATCATGTTTATAAAAATAACTAAGCAAACTACTGTAAGGTTTATTTTTCTCATTTAGTAAATTTTTTAAAAAAAATAAATCTTAGCAAAATGTCAGTCCCAGGAGGAATTTTCTGTGCAGAATTCCAGGAGGAATTTTCTCTTGTCACTGTTACCTTGTCAGTTGACTGAGTCAGTCATATGAGTCAAAATCTCTGATAGCACAGCTGTTATGAGTTAGACCGCTGATGACTCTTCCAAAGAACGTCCCTAATTGTCCATCTCTGCTGGTGAATTTCAGACGGCCAAGATCCGCCCTTACGCCGTGGCCGCGGTCCTCCGGAACATCAAGTTCACGAAAGATCGCTATGACAGCTTCATCGAGCTTCAAGAGAAGTTACATCAGAACATCTGCAGGTGTGTGTGCTCGCCTCTCTCTACTCCTTTCCCTCCCTCCACCCTCTCCCCTCCCTCTGTTGTTTCCCACCCCTTTCTTGCTCCTTTCTCCTTTCTTCTCTCTTCCTTCTCCCCTTCCTGACTTCTGCAGACTTTTTCAAAGCATTCCGAAGTTAGCGAGCATATGAGAGTTGCAAGATTTTTAAAGTTGCTGTAAGTACTCCCTATTCTTAGGGGTCTTTCTCGGTTGCTTTTGTTTAGTTCATGCTTTCATGGTGGTCAGTGACTTTTAGAATCGGAATCAGTCTTACTATTGTCCCTCATTCTTTTTTTTTATTTTTTTATTTTTGGCGGGGTTGCACCCATACCCAGTGATGCTCAGAGGTTGCTCCTGGCTCTGCACTCAGGACTTATTCCTGGCGCTGCTCGAGGGACCGTGTGGGATGTCAGGGTGCAAGCAAATGCTGTACCCACTGTACAGTCGCTCTGGCCTTCCTCATCCTCTTCTATATCTCTGCTTCTGTTCCTTTCTTTCCTGATTGATAGTTTCCTTTAAGTTCCTAAAAATTGTTCTTGGCAGATAAACTATGACAGATGACATTAATAACTTCTGAGCTTCAGTGTAACCAGTGTAAGTTGCTGATCTTTAGTTTTCTCTATTGTATTATAGCTGTATGACAGAATATTTAGGAAATTATAGAAAAAAGACTTCAATATGGCATTTTTTTTTTTAAATTGAATCACCATGAATTACAGAGTACAGAGTTGTTCATGATTGAGTTTCAGGTATCCAGGTTTCCAACACCGGTCCCTTTACCAGTGACCCTTCCTTCCACCACTGTCCCTAGTTCAATATGGTAGTTTTATCCTATTTTTTTTTTTCTTCTTTTTTGGCCATACCAGCAGTGCTCTTAATCCTGGCTCTGTGTGCAAGGATCTTTGCTGGCAGGTTCAGGGAACCACTTAGGATGCTGGGGATTGAACCCAGGTTGACTGTGTACAAGGCAAATGCCCTCCCTGCTGTACTATTTCTCTGGCCCCAGTTTTATTCTAATTTTATAACATATTGTTTACTTGACTAGCCTAAGAGGAAAGAAGATCAAAAGAAGGTAAAGGTTAATGGTGACTTAACAAAAATGTCCTGGGGCTGGAGAGATAGTACAGCAGGTAGAGCCCTTGCCTTGTGCATTTCTAACCCGGGTTCAGTCTCTGGCCCCCCAAACGGTCTTCTGAGCAAGCCAAGGAGTGATCCCTGAGTGCCAAGCCAGGATAAGTCCTGAGAACTGCCAGGTGGGACCCACCCTCTAGCCCCTCCCAGAAGTGTCCCAGTAACAGGCTTTGGAAAACAGTTGGGCAAGGAGTTGATTTCAGCTCCTGAAATACTGTTTTAGGTTGCTTTATAATTTCTCCACTACTTCTCATAGGTGTGAGCATTTTTTTTTTTGGTGTGAGTATTTTTTACAATTCTAACATTGCCGTATACTAGTAGGTTTTAGGAAAGCATTTAAAATTAATTTTTTTTTCCCCAGTGCCTCACTTAGGGCCTCCTGAATTCAAGGCATGGACTCTGCCTCTCAGTCATCTCCCTGGCCTTTAAATAGTCTCTTTGAAACAGTCCGTTATCTTTACAGTCTCTTTTCAGAATATTCAGTTCTTTGCTTTCTCCCTCTCACCTTCAGGAAAAGAACGTTGGTTGCTATCGGTACTCATGATTTGGACACGGTGTCCGGCCCCTTCACTTACACGGCAAAGCGGCCTTCGGAGATTAAATTCAAACCCCTGAATAAGAGCAAGGAGCACACGGCCTGTGAGCTGATGAGCATGTACAAGGTAAAAGCTCCTCTGCCTAACTGTATAGATCATAAGATTCTTTCACCGTTAAGTTTTAAAAATAGAGACATGCAAAAAGTCCTTCAAAAAAAAATGTTTTGGGGCCAAAGTGATCGTCCAGTGTGTGGGCATTTTGCCCTCTCTGACCTGGGCTTGATCCCTGGAACCGGATATGGTCCCCTGAGTCCCCTAGGAGCACATAACCTGGAGTGAGCCCCGCAGCACCGCCACGTGTGGGCCCCACAAACGAGAAAAAAAAAATCAATCAATAAAAAAGTGTCCGATGGGGGCTGGAGCGATAGCACAGCGAGTCGGGCGTGTGCCTTACACGAGGCTGACTCGGGTTTGATTTGATTCCCAGCATCCCATATGGTCTCCCGAGCACCGCCAGGAATAATTCCTGACCACAGAGCCGGGAGTAACCCCTGAGCATTGAGCATTGCCGGGTGTGACCCAAAAAAGCAAAAAAAAAAAAAAAAAAAAGTGTCTGATGCCAGCCTAGTTATTGCTTGATTCACCAGTGGATCCTAGGCAACGAGTTTAACTTTCTTCGTCTCTTGGATGATTTTAATTGGCAGCTAGGACCGAAACCCCCTGGCCTGGAACATACTATGTTGTATGATTAAAACTCATACAAGTAAAAGGCACTAGAAGAATCAGCTAATCTCTTGGGGGTCCTGGGAGTGGTCATTCGAGACACATCCGGGTTGCTTAGGACCAACTCCTTCAGTGCTTGAGAACCTGATGTGATCTTAGGGTTCAGACCAAGGTTCACCCCATGGTGTACAAAGCACGGCTGAAAGCTAGTTTTGTGTTTGGTTTTGCTGTTTCAGATGGGAACCACTGTTTAATAATGTGGATCTCATTATTAGCAATTTAGATTTCAGCAGCGAAGATGATTTAGTTGTCACTTTTGAAGTGTCATTTCTTCCCTAACTGGCCAGCGGTTTGTCTATTTGTAAATGGTTTTGTGATGGTTTGTGTCTTTTGAGGACTTGACTTTACTATTGCAAACCTGCTTATGCTCATTAAAAAAAAACCCTACTCTGTTGCTCTCAGTTCAGTGGGAGAGGAAGCTGTGTAAGGTTACGGGTATAGAAGTTACCTAAGAAAATCCTTTAATGGAGACCTTTGTGTAATTTGGGAGGTTTTTGTTGTTGTAGTTGTCGTTTTTCCTATCTGACTCCCACCACCTCCCCACCCTGCCTTATTTTTTTTTTTTTTTGACACCTGGTTAGGTATGTTAACTTGTTACAGTGATAGGAGTAAGATACAGTTTTTCTGTTTTGTCTTGGGACATATCCCACTGTGCTCAGGGCTCACTCTGGGCTCTTTGCTGAGGGCTTATTCCTGATGGTGCTTGGGAAACCTCAGTGGTGCCAGAGGTCAAACCTAGACTGGCCACTCGCAGGGCAGGTACTTTACCCGTTTATCCCTTTATCTGACCCAAAGAAACTAATTTTGACTTAATTTTTTTTTTTTTCAGACTGACAACCACCTTAAGCATTATTTGCATATCATTGAAAAAAAGCCCTTGTACCCCGTTATCTACGACAGCAATGGTGTTGTGCTTTCAATGCCTCCAATTATCAATGGTGAGTTCTTTCTTAATGTTGTTTCTTTTCTTTTGCTGTTTTTTCTTTTTCCTTTTTTTTTTTTTTTGGAGGCGGAGGCACATCCGGTGGTGCTCAGGGGTTACTCCTGACTGGCGGGCTCAAGGGATCATGTGGGATGTTGGGGATCGAACCTGGGTCAGCCGCGTGCAGGACAAGCACCCTCCCCGCTCTGCACTATTGCTCTGGCTCCTTTTACTATTTCTTCTTACTCTTCACTTTCTCTCTAAATTTCTCAGTCAGGGTGGCTCAGTCAAGTAACTCTTGAGAATCTCAGAACTTTCGTCAGTTGTATTGTAGTTCGTTCTTTCCTGAATTCACTTACTCAGGCTCCTATTTGGGGGGGTGAATGTGGGTTTTGGGGGGTGAGTGTGGGGTCGTGCGGGGAGCTACTCCTGACTCTGTGCTTACCGGTACTTGGGGGACCACATGCCAGGGATTGAGCCTGGGCTGGCAGGTGCCTTCACCCCTGTCCTGTCTCTCTGGTCATATTCAGCAGTGCTGCTGGGGTTTATTATGTATCAGTATCTGTAACGATTTTCTCCTGCCAGTCTTGGGCTGAACCCAGCCCTTGGGCCTGCACTGTCCCCCAGTTGAGTTGCGTCCCCCCAACTGAGCTGCTTCCCTGCCCCTCCACCGTCTGTCCTGGTCCCCTCCCAGAATTGTTTTTTTTGACTCAGGCAGGAAGTCAGGTCCCTTTAACTCAAATTCAGTCCTGCCTGCTGCTCGAGAGCTGAACTCACGCTGAGCAGCAGAATTTTTCTGTCCTTTCTCCTCTAGAGAACTTGATCCTCTTCACTCCTTCCTGGCGCCTGGCTCCCTAGGGGTCCCAACCACAGGGGTCAGGGGCCTGATGCTTTGGGCTGGGGGACCTCTGGGGCTCCGCCCAGCAGTGCATGGGGGTGCTCTCTGGTGTGGGATCAAACTCAGGGTCTCCCATGAGCGGGACATGCGCTCTCCCACTCGGGGCGTCTCCCAGCCCCTCCGGAGACTTTTTTTAAACTAAAAAAAAAAAAAAAAAAAACCAAAAAAACCCCAGAAAAACGAAAATTGGGTCTTTCGGGCGGTGTTCAGAAGGGCCATTTGGTGTGATGCCAGAACCCGAGGCTGTGATGCCACAGCTTGGGCCCGGGAGGGGCGGGGGCGGGGACCTCCAGGGCTTCCCGTTTGCTGCTTGGGGCCTCCCAGGCTGCCTCTCGGAGTCGAGTGTGCCCGCCTGGAACTCCTCCGGGGTTGTGGGTGACAAGAAGGCGGGGCACTCTCTGGAGGCTCCTGCTCAGTCTCTCTGCGCCTGTTCGTTAGAAGTCGTAGATCCTCTTACAGCAGCTGCGTCAGCTTCTCTGGTACTCCAAAGTGCGCGTGATTTCTGAAAGTGACGGCTTTGTTGTTGTTATGTGTCTGTCACAGGGAGCCACTCCAAAATCACACTGAATACAAAGAATGTGTTTGTGGAATGCACAGGAACCGACTTTACCAAGGTAAATAGAAGTGGGTGTGTTTGGGTCAGATTATTTTCAACCGATCGGATAGATTCTACTTCTGTAGCAAGACTCTGTGGCCAAAGATTAAAATAACGTTTGTTCTGTTTAGAGGCGGGACCGTCCTTTTGGAATTTAGCCCACGTGGCTGTTCTGTGCTTTGGTTAGGATGCTTTCAGTCTGCAGAGGTTCACTGAGCACCTGCTGTGTTTCTAGTGCCATGGGTTGGTGATGAGTTCTTTGTAATGGGGGGGCTGGAGGGAAGTAGGGGGTAGGGCCATATTCGGTGGTGCTCGGGGATCACTCCCAGCGGTGCTCGGCTGAGCCTGTGTGGTGCTGATGCTGGGGATCAAGCTGGGGTCAGGCATACACCTCACCCCCTGTTCTCTCTCTCCAGCCCATCTTCTGTTTCTTGACTTTAAGAAACTTGTCAGCTAGTATGGGAGTTAGTTATATACATGACTGTAGAATAGAGAATGGGATGATACTTGTAATGCAAGCAGTATGAATTGTTTTCCTTCTCCCTACCTCCCCACCGCTGTTTTTCTTAGTTTAGAGTAATTTTGGTGGCTCTGTGGACTTGTTAAAAAAAAAATTTTTTTTTAACTATTTTAAGAATGACTTAGCAAGTTGCTAGTGGGTTTATCAGCACCCAGCTATTTAGGATACGTGGAGTCCCTCTTGTTCATCAGTTTTTAGTCAGAGCAGGTTAGATTTGGTCACGCTGGAAGCTGTTTCTACAGTAGGGTTTCTGTCCACGTGTCCAGAGAGTCTTGGAGTAACGTGACTGTTCAGAAAAGGAAATAAATGTGCATGGCAAGAGACAGCTGGAATATTGACGTCACATGTATCTTACAGAATTGGCAAGCATTCGTAACTTATAGAACATGCTTACCTTCATTTCCTCTAGCTCTTATTCTTAAGAAAAATAGTAGTGCATTCATTGACAGATCTGGACTATATTCTCTGAAGTTTATATTCTAGCGAGAGTTCGCTCTGGAGAGCGAGGCAGGGGCTGGTGCTTGGGGGAATCAGTGGTGCCAGTGGAGCGAACCCTTTGTTCCTCAACCCGACGTTTTATTCCCTCCCTTGGAGCCGTGTGCCGAGCCCAGCGTTTGATCGATACCCCCCTCCCCCCGCCCTCCACAAGCGTCTTCCCTGAAGTCTGTGTCTGAGCGAAGTGTACATATAAAAGTTAGGCATATATCCCAACAGTGTTAACTGTATTTTTTTTTTTGGAGCATATTTTCTAATTAAAAACAACAAAAATAACCCTGTAAACCTATGTAGTCCTACTGTGTGCTGGAGACATGTGTACACACATCTGTCTAGTCCTGTGACAGCACAGTCATTCCTCAGAATGCCCGAGTGAGGCGGGAACGTGCATTCTCTCCACGTGACAGATGGAGAGACTCTCAGGTACAGAGGCCTGCAGCTTGCTGCCTCGAGTCACCCTGCTACTTATTAGTGGATGCGGGGGCCAGGCATCTGGACTCAGACTTATGAGACTGATAAGGTTCTCCCCACAGTGAGCCATTTGTCTCTCTTCAAACCTGGGGGACCTAGGGGAGGGACGGGGGAAGTCAGCGATTTGTCTCAGTCATGGATCGTAACTCTCGGAGAACCGCAGAAATGCAGAACACCTGAAGATAAGGCAGGACCCCACCCCCTCGCCCCACCCCTCCCTCCTACCCCCTGCCCCAGCCATTAGTATTCCATTTCTTTTTCAGAACGTACATAAAGGAGCATTTTGGATGTTGGTGGCCTGCATTGTATGAAATATTAATTCATTTCCATCTGCATGAAGGGAGTACATTTACAGATGACCATAATGCTTTTTTTTCCCTTTCCAGACAAAAATAGTGCTTGATATTATTGTCGCCATGTTCAGCGAATACTGTGAGAACCCATTTACGTAAGTTCACTTGTCAACTTTATTGATGATCTCTAGTTTGAAGGTTACAGCATTAAGAACTTGTGCTAAAAATAAAGAGGGAAAATGTACTTCCTGTAACTCGAACGTATCTCTTCAGGGAACTAAGACATATGCATAAATGATGTATAAAATAAATGATGAGTACTTTAAAAAACTTTGATGATTTTCTAGCTGTTGTAAGGGCAAGTGACAGTTCACCAAGGCAGTTGGCTCAGGCCCCTTGGATGCAATCATGCTTAAGCTGTGTTTAAGAATAGTAAAACACGGAAGTCTGTAGAGATAGTGCAGCATGGAGGGTGCTCTCCTTGCACGAGGCTGACCTGGGTCCAGTCCCTGGCACCCTGTATGGTCTTCTGAGCTCTGCCAGGAGTGATAACACAGCCAAGTGTCGCCCCAAAACAAAAGCAAAGAAGATAAACATAGATTGCCAAAGAACAGCAGAGTAGAGGTGGAGAGACACGTCAGGGGCAAAGTATTGATTCCCGTAGGTCAATAAAGTGTTCTAAGGACTGTGTCGTAGTCCTGTTTTGTACTAGCACTAGAGCTTATGCTGGAGGATCAATTACAGTTCCTTCCTCAATATGCCACTCTAGAAAGTCTGGTTGAAATCATGTGGAACTCCCACAGTTCCTGCAGCCCTTTCTTTCAAGTCGGTTTGCACTACGGTGCTTGTGCGCATTAGTTTTCCTTTCCAAGTGCCCTGCTGGGCTCGTGGAGGGTGCAGGCCTGGCAGTTCTGGGAGAGAAGAGTGTCAGGAGACAGCCCTGCTCCGTCTGTGGTAGGAAGCGGAGCAGTGCCACATGGGGGAAGCCTTGATCTGGATGGTGGGGTTGGAATATGGGGCCGGGTGAAAGACTCGTTAATGGTACCCGTGTCTAAAAGGTGGCCCCGTTGTGTTTCACGGGGTCTTATTTCCGACTTTGTGTCTTTTCTCAGGGTCGAAGCAGCTGAGGTCGTTTTTCCTAATGGCAAGTCAAACACCTTCCCTGTAAGTACTGAAGAAGTGACTTGGTGTTGATGACAGTAATAAAAATAGCAGCAGTGGTTGTGGTCCACCTGTTCATCTCCCCGCGTGTGGGCCCTAAGCCTCGTTGCACCACGGGAAGTGAATCCTCACGGCAGGTACCAGGAAGTATTTTTGTCCTCTTTCCAGATGGAGGGATGGGCGGGGGTGGGGGGCGTTGGGGATGCTCAGCATGTTTAAGTGCTGTTACTATAAAGTGTTGGAGGTAGGAGCTCAGTCTTCAAAGTTCAACTTCAGTTGTTAGCACACTGCATCATCTAATTCCTCTGATCAGTTCTCTTGTTGACTAGTTAACGATAGTTGACTACTCTCCAGTTTGATAGCTTGAGCGATCTCCTGGCCCTTAATCTCGCCCTTGTACATATTATGCAGCTCACCCCCTGAGATCTCACCTGCTCACACTTGAAATAACTGTTGGCCAAGGCCATTGCCGTAGCTGAAACATAACCTCAACTGCATTCATGGGATCAGTTTAGGAATAAACACAGTTATTGTGAAGACAGAGGTCACTGGGACTGGAGAGATGGTCATTCAGAGATGAAAGTGCCTGCCTTGCCTGTGGCTAGTTTTAAGCACCCCTGGGTGCAACGTAGGCTCTTGGTTGGGGTTAGGGTTAAGGGTCGGGTTAGGGTTAGGTTAGGGCTAGGGTAGAGTTAAAGCTAGGGGAAGGGCTAGGGCTAAGGTTAGGGTTAGGGTTAGAGCTATTGTTAGGGCTAGGGTTAGGATTAACGTTAGGTCTAGGGTTAGGGTTAGCGCTAAGGCTGGAGTTAGGGCTAGGTCTAGATCTAGGGCTAGAGTTAGGGTGAGGGTTATGGTGAGGGCTAGGGCTAGGGTCAGGGCTCAGGTTAGGCTTTAGGGCTAGGGCTCCGACTAGTGCTAGGGCTATATGCTAACCCAGCATTCTTCATCGTCCTTTCCCTGAAGATGACTCTAAAAACAAACATAGCCTTTTTCACACAACGGTGTCCTAGTCTTCTGTTGTGCTCATCGAGTGAGGCCATTTCTTTTCTTAGTGAAACACCATGGGGTACAGTTGTAAATTTACAAACTTTTGTGCTTAGGTTTCATTATACAATGATCGAGTACCCATCCCTCCACCAGTGCCCATTTTCCACCACCAGTGATCCCAGTAGCCCTCCCATCCCCCCCCATTCCCCCCCCCCCCCCGCCTTTGTGGCAGGGCATTCCCTTTTGCTCCCTCATTCCTTTGGGGTGTTGTGGTTTTCAGTAGAGGTATTGAGTGGCCATCGTGTTCGGTCTATAGTCTACATCCAGCACGCATCTCGCATCCCGAGCGAATCCTCCAAACATCCAAACACAATTACTTGATGTTCCCTTCATGTGAGGCCATTTCTTTTCTTTTCTTTTTATTTATTTATTGAATCACTGTGGGAAAGGTTACAAAGCTTTCAGGTTTATGTCTCAGTCATGCAAATATCAAACACATTTCCCTTTACCAATACTTATTTTTTACCCTGAAGAACCCCAATAAAACCCCACCCCCCACCCCTCCCCGTCCCTGTGAGGCAGATGAATTCTAGTTAACACTCTATCTGCTTTGATTAGATTCATTGTTTCAATAAAAGATTCACCACTATTATTTAGAGTTTACCCCCCCCCCCCCCCCAAATCAGACATGCTGAAAAAGCATTGTGAAGTGATTTGCTTTCTACAGCTGGGTTCAAGAATTAAATGTTGGTTTTGGATTTCTGCTATTTTACCTATTGACCCTGGAGGTATTTCTACTGAAAGTCAGATAGTTAAGAAATTGGTTTCTGTGTTCTGGAGTCGTGGCCGTGCTGGAGAGCCGCTCGCGGGGGGCAAACGGTGGCCTCGGTAGGGCGTGAAGGGTGGAGCGAAACGCCCCCCTTCCCATGAGGTTTTAGTCGCCCCCACACTCCCGGCTCATACCTGCTGTCCGCAAGGCTACCATGTGGCCGCCATCTTTCTTTCCAGAGAGGAGAGGGCGACTGGGGCAACACCCTTTCCCCTCCGGCAGACTTGATGGAGGCCATTTCTTAATGACCTTTTTCTTTGCATTTTTGCCCTGTTTCTCGTTTCTGAAGTGATCAGCCAAGACTATTTCCTTCTGTTGAAGTAGCTTTAAGAAAGACAAACACATCCCTATACCCAAACCTTCTTTTTCCTGAAAACATGTATTAATTCTAATTTTAATTTGAAAGTGTAACCAGAAAGCATGAAACAGCATTGATTCTCTCATTCTCTTGCTCAGCTCTGGTCCCCGCTGCCCTGTTTCATCTGCAAGACTCACCTATGTACTTAGCTGCCGGGTAGCCCATAGCTGGGTGACCTGGGAAGGCTTCAGTCCTGTCCGAGTCGGCTTCGTGGTGATGGGGTTCACTGCCCATTGCCGAGCTTAGGCTTGGTGACATGGTGATGCTTGCAGGATTCGCAGCTGCAGGAGAACAAGCCTACTGTTCAGGTGCTTATGAGCTAGTCTCTCTGCTAGAGTCAAGGAGGGGAAAACTTTCCATTTCCTGGTGCTGTGGCCTGCAGGGAGCCCAGAGACGCAGACAGGGGGAGAACTTACAGCCATCTCTGCAGTTCATAGCTATAGCCCTCAGCATCTGCAGAAGAGGACATTTCTCTTTCTTTCTTTCTTTCTTTCTTTCTTTCTTTCTTTCTTTCTTTCTTTCTTTCTTTCGCTTTTTGAGTCACACCTGCCCATGCGCAGGGGTTACTCTTGGCTCTGCACTCCGTAGTAATTATTCTTGGCGGTGCTCAGGGGATCATTTGGGATGTTGGTAATTGAACCCAGGTTGGCTGCATGCAAGGCAAACGCCCTACCCGGTGTGCTATCGCTCCAGCCCCCAGAGAGGACATTTTTAATCTGTTTCAATAGAATGTCAGATTTGGAATGTTTCTCTCTCTCTCTCTCTCTCTCTCTCTCTCTCTCTCTCTCTCTCTGTACCAAGGGCCAAGTGAATTGTGTATTTGGGGGAAGAAACTACATCTTAAAATTCACTTTTTTGACCTATGTGATCTTTGAAATTGTTCGGAAAGAGCTATTAAGAATTTGAAGTGGTGAATGTTCTCACAAGCGATGCCGTAGTATTCCATCACTTGTTGGTGGTTTTCTAACCCAAAATGAGAGTGATGCTTCCCATATTGCTCTCCCAGTGAGGAATGTGCCTATGGGGTACTGGTGCTTTCTCATGTGAAGTAGTGCATAACAAAAAGAACTTCAAAAGTTATTTTTTTCTAATCTTGTGTTATAAAAGAGTTTAGAATAAGAGGACTAGAGGGGATTAAAATTGGTAATTGGAGAGACCGATATAGTTTAAAGTGTGCGTTTTGGAAGTTCGGCCCCCAAGCTTATTAGGAATCAAGTTGTTACTTCCTGCTTTGTATGTATTTAGGGATTTTATAAGGACAAGAACTATACCAAACTAGGACTTAGAAGTTTGCCATGGTAATTTGGGACTGGTCATAAAACTCAAATTCCTGTCTTTAAAATGAGAAGAGCTGTAGCATGTGGGATAAGTGTTTAAGTCCATTTTGAGAGGGTGTCTTGTACAGTTTGCTCATTTTAACTGTTCAGCAAAGGTTGACATATATATATATATATATATATATATATATAAGCCTAGAGTCCAAGGTCACAAAGTTCTGCTTACCTGGTTCTTTGGGGTTTCACTCATGCGTGAGGCTCGAGCGTCCGGACCTACATACATACATACATACATACATACATACACACATACACACTTTATATATGCATATATATATATGTACACATATATATTGTATGTGTGGGGGGGGATTGGGCCCCACAAAGAGGTGCTCAGGGGCTGCTCTCAATTCTTTGCTTGCTCCCAGTGGTGGTGGGGGACCATATGATGCCAAGGATTAGGGGTTGAATGGGGTGGGCTCTATACAAGACACAGCCTTAATCCCTGTGTCTAGTCCAGTGATCCTGGACCCTAATCTTCTTTTTCATCACCTGAGGATTTTGATGATACTCAAATTTGGATTCAGTATGTCTGTTGAAACTGCTCTGGCTAGAGTGGCCAGCATCTGAATTTCCGATTGATATTCAGGTTATGAGTATTTCTCACCTTCCAGGATGGCTTCTGACAAGGCTTCTGATTTGGGAACTGCATTTTAAATAGATGGCTATGGCCTATTCTTATCTTAATCTGAACAGATTTTGTTTGTTTGCTTGGGCCATATCCAGCTGTGCTCAGAGCTTGCTCCCGGCTCTTCTCAGACATCATTCCTGGCTGGACCATATGTGGTTCCATAACCCCGGTTGGCTGTGTGCAAGGCAAGCGCCCTACCCACTGTACTATCATTCTGGCCCCTAAACGTTTTTTTTAATTAAAGCCTTTCCCGAGTGGTAGTTACGATTTTTGAATAGTGATAGACATATTCGTAGTTATGTGTCCAGAGATAGTGGAGGTCTGCCGGGCTGCTGGAAGCAGGCAGAGGATCTCTGCTCTCAGGTCCGCTGAGCCTGGAGTCCGAGGTCAGAGTGATCAAATGATCAAGTGTCCAGAGGTGCTGGCAAGCCTGGAATTTGTGTGTGTCTGTTTTCCCCTGCCTGACCTGGTATGGCTCAGCTCCATTTGAAGTGGAGTGAGCACTCTTTCACGAGACGCTTGGCACAGTTTCCTTGTGTCCCGCCTGGAAAGGAGAGAGGAATATCTTCGTGACAGTCTGAGATTGAGTGTGGTGGGGCATGCATTGTGACACTTGCCTTATTCCTGCTTGGTCATAAGCACCTTGCACAAAATCAGATTCTCCAGCAGGATTGATCGTAGCAAATTTATTCCTCTCACTGTCCTCCCCGTTGTTCATCGATTTGCTCGAGCGAGCCCAGTAACGTCTCCATTGTGAGACTTGTTGTTACTGCATTTGGCATGTCGAATACATCACAGGGAGCTAGCCAGGCTTTGCCGTGCGGGCGAGATACTCTCAATAGCTTGCCGGGCTCTCAGAGAGGGCGGAGGGAATTGAACCTGGGTCGCTCGGGTCGGCCGCATGCAAGGCAAACGCCCTACCCGCTGTGCTATCGCTCCAGCACTTGTTCCTCTACCAATTTTTATTTTTTCTTTTTTGGAGGGGGTTGCTCCCAGCACAGCTCTGAGGACCAGGTGGGCCGGGGGGTCCCTTGGGCCAACTCGCTGGCCCTCGTGTTTTATGATACTTTGTGTAGTTTCAACATCTGGCCCTAATGATCATTTCTTCGAAGGGTGATGAAACTAACAGAAATGAGTGCGAAGGAGTCTGATGTTGTATTTCAGGGGAGTGATTTTAGCTCATTTTTTTCTCAAACACTTTTTTTTTTTCTTTTAAGGAACTGGCTTACCGAAAGGAAGTGGTGAGAGCTGATCTAATTAACAAAAAAGTTGGAATCAGGTATGCCCTGTAACTTAATTTATTTACTGTTGGAGAGAATTCCAGGGTGTAGTGTGAGCTCTTTAATTTTCCCTGAAAGAATGCTTGGAACAGGGGGGTTTGATGTCTCTTCAGACCAAGTTCAGTGACAATACAACGTCAGCAAAATGTTTGGTGTGTAATGGATTTAAAAAAACGTGCTATTATTTCAGGTGTAAGCGTATTTTAAAACAAAATAAACTGTGTTTAAATAGCCCGGTGAAGCTGATGGTTTGTTACATTCCTCTTTCAGAGAATCTCCAGAAAATATTGCCAAGCTTCTGACCAGAATGTACTTAAAATCAGAAGTCATAGGTGATGGGAATCAGATCGAGATCGAAATCCCTCCTACCAGATCCGACATCATGCATGCCTGCGATATTGTAGAGGACGCAGCTATTGCTTATGGATATAACAACATTCAGATGAGTCTCCCGAAAACGTACACCATAGCTAATCAAGTAAGATTGCACCCTTAAATAAACACTCCTTATTGTTAGAAACTGATTATTGAATGCCAGGAAAGCTTGGAGAGAAACAGAATGTAGGAATTAAGCAGTATTTGGACATGCTCCGCCGTGAGAGGCATTTGCTCTGGGGAGGATGTAAACCAGATGTCCGGTTGATTGGAGTCAAGCTGGAAACCTGTGATGACTCATTCTTTGAAGAAAGACAGGTCTCGAGTTTGGGGCCCCTGTCAGCTTGCTCACTGGGAGATTCATTTTTCTCTACCTGGCTCTGAAGGCAGAAGCTGCGTGGGAGCCATAGGTGTCTGTGTGTGCATGTGTGTGTGTGTGTGTGTGTGTGTGTCTACAGTCATGGCAGTTTCTGGTCATGGAGGTGGTGAGGAAAGGGTGGTTACCAGTCCATTAGTGGGGACGGAAAGGCAGCCCTTTATAAAAAAAAATATAAGAAACCCACTTTACTGAGGTGAAATACGTCTTTTTTCAGTTTCCTCTTAACAAGCTCACAGAACTCCTGAGATGCGACATGGCAGCCGCTGGCTTTACCGAAGCCCTGACCTTTGCCCTGGTACGTTGACACGCTTTTCCTGCCCAGCTGAGCATTTACTCGGAATCTCTGAATAGTCTGTTCTCCCATCCCTCATGAATTTATAAGAGCTATGTATTTATTTTACATTGTTTTTGGATCACACCCAGCGATGCTCAGAAGTTACTCCTGGCTCTGCACCCAGGAATCACTCCTGGTGGTGCTTGGGGACCCATATGGGGTGCCGGGGATTGAACCCGGGTCGGCCGTATGCAAGGCAAATGGCCTACCCACTGTGCTATCGCTCTGGCCCATTATTTTACCTTTTTAAAATATTTAAAAAAAATTTTTCAGGCCACGCCCAGAGGTGCTCAGGGGTTACTCCTGGCTCTGCACGCAGGAATCACTCCTGGTGGTGCTCAGCGGACCCTGTAGGCTCGAACCTGGGTTGGCCCTGTGCAAGGCAAGCGTCCTACCTGCTGTACGATTATTGTTCTAGCCCCGAACTTAGAAAAATCTAGATGACTGATATTTCCAGCCTTTGTGACTCGGTGTCATAGAACTCCAGGTAAAGGAGGCAGAAGATTGTTCTTTCAATTCCGGCTAGGTCTGAAGGGCCGAGAAGTGGCTGCGGTGGCTGGGGAGGGCAGCGGATAGTCGGGTGTGAAGGCGGAGGTCACTAGGTGTCCTGGCGAGCTGTGGGGAGGGGGGCCTTTCAGTCCGCCTTTTGTGGGTAGCCATGCCCACTTGATGCCGCCCTGGCTCGGGGCTTGCGGGCTGTTCCACATTAGACCAGCTTCTTTGTCTTTGAACATGTTCACAAACATTTGCTTTGAGTTGAAAAGCTGACATAAAAGGCTTAAATCAGGAAATGGATTTTATTGCAAAATCAGAAGGAAATCCCCCGCCCCAGCAGACTGACCATTTGGGAGATTGAAATGTGTATACAATTTGTAGTTTCCTTGGCCCGCTTTACATTTTCTTTTTCTTTTTTTTTTTAGCAGGGGCCACTCCCTGCGGTGTTTGGCCCTGTGGGGCAGGCCCTCCTGGCTGGGTGCCAGGGCACCACCAGGGATACTCCCAGCATGCGGCCCTTTGTGGGCAGGGCCTCTGCGCCAGGGATCAGAGTCAGGGCTGTGCCTGTGCTCAGCGCGTGCTTTCCCACTTGGTTCCCCCCCCCCACACACACACACCTCACCTACACTGTTTGCTTCTGAGCCTTTCTGGGGTGCCCACAGCATCATTTTCATCCGTAAAGACCAGCTTCATGATGGAGGGCCAAAAGCAGGCCACAGTAGGGACGGGAGCAGCTCTTCCTTTTTATAAATCTTTAAAACTTTATAAAAAAAATTATTATGTATTTATTTTTGCTTTTTGGGTCACACCCAGTGATGCTCAGGGGTTATTCCTGGCTCTGCACTCAAGAATTGCTCCTAGCTTTGCTTGGGGGACCATACGGGATGCTGGGGATTGAACCCGGGTCAGCCATGTGCAAGACAAATGCCCTTGCCCTATTGCTCCAACTCCTAAAAAATTTTTTTTTAATTTCATAAAGATGTTCACAATAATGAATTACATTCAAGATATACATATATATTTTTTTTTCTTTTTTCTTTTTTTTTTTTTTTTGATCACACCTGGCGATGCACAGGGGCTATTCCTGGCTCTGCACTCCAGAATGACTCCTGGCGGTGCTCAGGGGACCCTATGGAATGCTGGGAATCGAACCCGAGTCAGCCGCGTGCAAGGCAAACGCCCTATCTGCTGTGCTATCGCTCTAGCCCCTACATTCGATACTTTGACACCAATCATACCACCATTATTTTGAATTTCCCACCACCACTCAAATCTGCCGAATAGGCGGATGCTAGATAATTTATTTGTATTGCCCCCTGTTTAGAAATCTAAAATTTTAGATAATTAGGAGCTGGAGAAATCTCTGCCTTGAGCTGCTCGGTTCCAAGATTCTTTTGTGTGTCTCAGGATTGTGGTCTAAATAGTCACCTGATGTAGCTCGTGAGCGTACCTCCAGAGTCCCGTAGAGACAGGAGATGGGAAGGGCCGGCCCATCCATCCCCAATCCCATGAGGCCTGGTGTTTGGCCTTCACTAATCCCAAGTACCTGGGCTTTCCATTGGGTTGTGGAAGTTGGTGGCCGCAGGGATTCCTGGGGGCAGGTGGAGGGGCAACGCCTGCTCCCATCTGAGGCACCCCAGTGAAATCAGCCTGGCCCAAAGCCCAGAGGCATCTCTGCAGGGGCAGCTCTGCCTTTTTTCCTCCATCAGAACCCCAGTCCAGCCTGCAACTCTCAGTCTTATAGGACGGAACAGTGGGGTTCACTGCCATGGAGGGCTGAGCACAGTCTCTCTCCTGGTCCTCTCTTGGGCTCTCATTATCCACAGAGTGGCTCTAGTCCAGCCCCGTAATTTTTAATTCAGCCTCTCTGGGCAGCTGCGGGCCATCTGCTGAGTCCCAGGCTCTGTACTGACGACGGACTCCTGAGACCGAATGGTGAGACATCTTAGTGGTCACCAGCGCCCTAGCCTTTGGACTGATTAATTTGGGGGGGGGGGTTTAGGGGCCACATCCGGCAGCACTTGGGGCTAACTCATGGCTCTGTGCTTGGGGTGGCCATATGCGGGGCTGAGGCTAGAAGCAGGCTTGGCTCTGAGCTCTATAAGATCTCTCTCCCTTAATTTTAACTTTTACATATTCTGTAATGATGGGATTGAAGCCAGAACTACTTTTTTTTAAATTTTATTTTTATAAAATAGTTCACAATAGTTCATTACAGATAGTATCCAAACACCAATCCTACCACCGTGCACCTTCCCACCACCATGAGAGGACAGTTTTCTTGTATTTCATCCTGGAGCCATTTAAGCCCTTGTATAAGAGATTACAAGCATGTATGTTAGACCCAAACACATGTGTGCTGCTCTTGGTACATCTGTGGGCTAGCGTGTAAGAGCATTTGCAGCCAGGCGCTCCAGGACTTTTTGCGTCGCTCTCTTCTGGGAGCTTTTTTTTTTTTTCAGAGTCTCCGGATCTCAGCCATGGATGAGATTATATGGTGCGGGGGTCAGTTTGTGGGTGTAACTGCCAAGCTACTGGAAAACTGGGGAGCTGGGGAAGGAGACCCCGTCGTGTTCCGAGCAAACGTGGATATCGAGCTTGAAAATCTCATCACAGGTCTCCCATGTCTGTTTTTTTTTTTTTTCTGCAGTTTCCCTCATAGGTGAGGCTCATCCGAGTCTGTGAACCCAGAATGCTCTTGGCACACGGCTGGTCTCAGAGCCAAATCCCCAGCCCGCCTTGGACTTGTTCAGCAGCGCTTGCCTCTGGTTTCCCCTGGTGCCAGCTCGCTGGTCCTGACCCACATAGCCCTGGCTGGACACTTCCGCCGGGGAGCCTCTCCAGGCATGAAAATGTGAAATGTAGTGCTGAGAAACGCAGACTTTGTTCTTGCTTGGGGGTCACTCCCAGTGGGGCTGGGGATTTGAACCGAACTCCACGGCTTGTTAGGGCAAGTGCCTTGGGTCCCGTCCCATCGCTTCTGTCCCCCTTTTTTCGGTTTTGAACAGTCTGTTAAGGGGCCCTGAGATTGATTTTATAAATAAGCTGCCATGATAGTCCCCCTGTGGCCGCCAGCCCCCTTTCCCTTTCCAGCACAGCTCACTCACTGCTGTAGCATGCTCACCCCCAGTCCCTGTCCTTGGAACCTTCCCTCCTGTGTGCTTTGGTGAGAGTCCATGGTGCTGCACCTCCCTAGGGGTGTCTGTGCTTGGCTGCTCTGCAGGGTCCTTGGTTCCTACACGGCTCGGCTCTCCAACGTACCTGCATCCCCGAGGAAGACCCTTAACTTGGCTGCAGCCCATGGGGATTGCACCTGGCCTCTCTGCGCCCCAGGCCTACCTTGCGGCTGGCCACAGTCAGTGCTTCACAGCCAGCCCGCTGTCCCAGGTCACCTCAGCACCAAGGGACAGCTGAGAAGGTTCAGGTTTGCGGGCACAGCTTTCCTGGAGGGATCGCAGCATGCAAGACACCACGTGAAAGCAGGCACTTTCCAAGCAACCCTGAATATCCCTGAACATTTGGCCTAGTTATACAAGCACTGTAGTTCTTTTTGTAAAACCCAGTTTCTAGATATAAATGTTTGTATTTCATTATTTGGGCCTTTGCTTTATTATTTTGCTAGTTGTATGTTTTCTTTTAAGTAAGCTCACTTAAATGAATTTTTGGGGGTTTTTTTGCTTGTTTTTATTTTTGCAGAGCTGGGAATCAAACCCAGGGCCTCACGTATGCAAGGCATGAGCTCTGCCACGGAGCCACATCCCAGCCCTAAATTAGCACTCCTTTTTAAGATGAACTACTTCCTGTCATCTTGTTAGAGGGATATTTGTCGAAAATGTTGGTTTCATTTACTCATGGTAGTTTACCTGGTGCTTTCAAAGAAACATTACCATTTAAGGTTTCCTTCCTGTGTTCTAGCCACTGCCACTTTGGCTGCCTTCATTTAAGTAGTCGCCTCTGTCCCCTCACCAGCTGGCTTTGCACTGTGATAAAATGCAAAGTTACTCAGATACCTCCCAGGCCTGGACTCCTTTCTTCTGAGCGTAGATTGTGCCATGCAAGTTGCCTTTCCTAATGAACTATTCTCGTGGCTGAATCTGTTTTAACTCCACTACCCACCGTGTGCCTGCACGTTCTCCACTCTGCTGCCCTTCTACATCAGCGAGTCCACTGCTGCTCTGAGAGTTTCACAGGAATCCTTAGCACTGGTGTCGTACGAAATGAATCGAAACGAATTTTTTTTTTTTCCCGTGTGAAATACTGGCCAACTTCTTTGTCCCCAAGGACCATTTTGTTGAACAATGTAACCCTGAAGATTAGTATAATAATCTGCTAGTACATCAGTTTTCAGGTTTGGTTGTAAACTCTTCAGAAAATTAGTATTAATATATGTCACCACTGTCAGCACTGTCCTCCCATTGTTCATCGATTTTCTTGAGCGGGCACCAGTAACGTTTTCTTAACATTATTCTTTTTTTGGGGGGGGTCACACCCAGCAACGCTCAGGGTTTACTCCTGGGTTTGCATCAGTAATTACTCCTGGCGGTGCTGGGATGACCATATGGGATGCTGGGGATCAAACCCAGGTCGGCCGCGTGCAAGGCAAATGCCCTACCCGCTGTGCTATCACTCCAGCCCCAACATTATTATTCTTGAAGTGACTCGTTAACCATTATTGTTGATGTTAGTTTGGGCTGAATGTTTTATTGCGTTGTATCTTCGTCCCGCGTTGAGGTTTTTCCACCATGTCCTGGTGAAAAATGCCCTTAAATTCTATGTAATGGCTCAGATGCGTCTTAAGAGGACTATTGATGTTAAGTTGTATCTTCAGTCGGTCTGAAATAAAGTGGCATGTGTTTATTCTGAGCTTATTTTAACTTACTGATACCGAGAATTTAATATTTTACATGAAGAACCTACATTGTTGTTAGTCCATAAGTTGACCTACAGTGTTATATACTTTTTAAGTATTAAATTTAGTCGTTCCTTTTCCCTGTTGACCTGTTTTCTTTTTTTTTTATGTACTTCTCAGTGCTCCAAGGAGGATATTGCCGACAAACTTGGTGTGGACATCTCTGCAACAAAGGCAGTGCTCATAAGTAATCCTAAGACAGCCGAATTTCAGGTAAGCGTTTTAAATAGATGCAGTATTTGAATAAAACCCGAGAGGCAGTACATAAGTTAGGAAAAGTTCCTTCTGTTACTATAGCTCAGATGTCCAAGTTATGCTTTTAAAAATATTTTGGTTTCTTTTTTTTGCTTTTTGGGTCACACCCAGCGATGCTCAGAGATCATTCCTGGCTCATGCACTCAGTAATTACTCCTGGCGGTGCTCGCGGGACCATATGTGATGCTGAGAGTTGAACCCGGGTCGGCCACGTGCAAGGCAAATGCCCTACCCTCTGTGCTATTGCTCCAGCCCCTCCAGTCTTTTCTTGACTAACTTTAAACTCTAGGGTTCTTTCTGTAAATGCTGTTTGGATCATGTGGTCTGAATTTGCCATTTCTTTCTTTGCTGTGCTACCGTCTGGTGGTGCTCATGGCGTGGTGCTCAGAGGTCGCCAGTCGAGCCGGGAATCATGCAGGGCAAGGAGGCACATGGCTCTCCTCAATGCGAATGCGGAGCCCGCCCTCCCGGCCTCTGCATTTCCCATTTCAGAGCTGAGTGTTGGTGCTCTGCTCAGATTTCATCTCTCTCCCGCCGTCTGTAACCTGCTCCCAGTGCCTGCATTAAGTCACTTGCTCTGAAATTAGTTGCTCCACCAGCTCCCAGCTATGTTACTCGCATCACCGTCTCTAGTCCAGTGGCAGTTTCACATCATTTAGGGCTTTTACTGAGAACCAGACTACCTGCCTTTGTCTGTTGTCAGTGGTAAATGACTTGCAGATTAGGATAAAAGGTAAAGGCCCTCCCGTTGATCGTCGATTTGCTCGAGCGGGCCCAGTAACGTCTCCATTGGAGACTTTGTTGTTACTGTGTCTGGCATATCGAATACTCTCGGTAGCTTGCCGGGCTCTCCGAGAGGGGCGGAGGAATCGAACTCGGGTCGGCCATGTTGGCCGCTTGTAAGGCGAACGCCCTACCGCTGTGCTATCGCTCCAGCCCGCAGATTAGGATATGAACTCTTAAAAAGCGCATTTCAGAGTCAGAATATTTGTTACACTAGCCTTTAGAGCAAATTTTGTTCTCGCATCAGAGAGACTGCATTAGGTAAAAATCAAGTTTTTAAGTTCTTAGAGGTGAACTCTCAGATTTGCGACAGTTCCTTGGAGCTTGGTTTTCATTATAGTAAAAGTAGGGGTATGGATTAGTTTTTGAATTCTCAAGGTTCTAAAAGTGTTTGAATCTAGCTTAAAAATCTAAATTGTACCTATAGAACTTCGCACTATGATGACACATTAGCGCTACACTAATTAAAGATCCCATTGGTAATAATCCATCACTGACATGAGTTATTTCTTTTTATTTGTTGTCAGAACTTTGAAGAGTTTTTACACTGCTGTGAAGGGATTGAGCTTAGAGTTTCTGTAGTGCATTTTCTGAGATTTGGTAACTTTTCTTGTGCTTTCATTTTTACATTTTTTTTTTCTGTTGTAAATTTTATTTTGGTTTGGGGGCCACGCCCCATGGTCCTCTGGGCTATTCCCAGCTGTGCTCTGTGGACCGACCATGTTGTGCCAGGGATCGAACCCACGCCCTCCCACATGCAAAACTAGCAGTCTGTTGAGTTCTCTCAGGACCTCTCCTGCTTTAAAAGATGCCCATGGTCATCTTTTTAATAGATACTGAAATTTATTTACATAGAGCAATGGTTCAATAGTTTCAATGAGTTTTTGAGTTTATTCCAATTTTTCTCACAGTTTCACATAACAGACTTGAGAGATGTCTTAAGAGATAATGTTATGTTCTTAAGGGCTTATATCCTGTCTTATATAAATGGAAGAAAAACAAGTCAGAAATACATTAAAATGTCACTATAAATAGCTGTGGCTTAGCATACTTACAGATCAATAGTTCTGCACAAAGTCTCTTAGCTCTGAGAGTCTGCCTTTCAGACACTTTCCATTTACTCTTGCTTTTCCAGTACAGATGCCCGACTGCTACCAAAGAAACATAATATGTTTTTTTTTTTTTTATAGTTGAATTAAGTGTAAAGTTGTTCATGGCCTTAAATAACACAGTGCTGTCTAAGCTGTCTCGGCCTGGGGCGGGAGAGATAGTGCAGTGGGTAGACTCTATCCTTGCAAGACTCTATCCCTGCAAGAGTGATCCTTGAGTGTAGAACCAGGAGTGACCCTGATCTTGCTCCTTTTTATTGTTTTTATCTTTTTTTTTTTAAATAAAATGTAGGAATTTTCAGCTTGTCATTTTGAAAGACAGAATATTTTCAGCATTCTTTGTAAATTTTGGAATTGAAAGTTGAAACTGACTGGGATGTTTTAGGCAATTGCCCTTTCCAGAGCAAGTTGGTTTTTTTTTTTTTATTTTGCTTTTCTCATCTTGGCTGTCTGGTTGCTTTTTAGTGAGTGCTGTTCCGTTTCATCCCTGCAGGTGGCGCGCACCACCCTTCTTCCTGGCCTCCTGAAGACCATAGCATCCAATCGGAAGATGCCCCTTCCTCTGAAGCTATTTGAAATCTCTGACATTGTAGTAAAAGATTCTGGGAAAGGTAAGAATGAGTCACCTTTGATTTGTATACTCAAAGGCTATTTTTATTAGGAAATTTTCACCCGAGTATAAAAGTAGGAAAATAAATACTATAATTCTATAAATCCTTCTCGAGCTCCAGCTATTATTAAGATACTGGCCGTAGCGATAGTACAGTGGGTAGGGCACTTGCCTTACATTAGGCTGACTGAGGTACCATGCTCAGCACCCCTTATGGTCCTCTGAGCCCCACCATGAGTGATACCCTGAATTCAGAGCCAAGACCATGCCTGGGTGTGTCCCCAAAAGGCACCACTGGGTGTGGCCCAAAAAGGCTCCCCCCCAACAAAAAAAATTATATAGACCAAAAAATAAACACAGCCAATCTTTTCTCATTTATTTTTTTAAACATTTCCTAATTTTTTTTTTCTTTTTGGGTCACACCTGGCAATGCACAGGGGTTACTCCTGGTTCATGCACTCAGGAATTACGCCTGGCCGTGCCCGGGGGACCATATGGGATGCTGGGAATCGAACCCGGGTCGGCCGTATGCAAGGCAAACGCCCTACCTGCTGTGCTATCACTCCAGCCCTGCATTTCTTCATATTTATGCAAATTCTAGACATAATTTTGTCAGCAAACACATTAAAATGTATTTTTGAAAAATCAGAACGACCTTTTTGTCAACTAGAACCTGACTCCGTTATCATATTTTCTGGTCCAAAATCTAGCTAAATGACTTAAATGTTGTCAATTTTCTCTTTAATTTTCGCAATTGACTTGACTCACTCCAAGCAAGATCTAGATATCTGCTTTCCCTATCTCATTACTTTTAATAAAAAGCAATTTTAAAAAAATTAAAAATAAAGTTTTTCAATTGACTCATCATGAGATACACAGTCACAAAGTTGTTCACCATTAGGTTTCAGTCATACGTATTCCAACACCCGTCCCTTTAACAGAGCACATTTCCCATCACCAATTTCGCTCCTATCCACCTCAGCCTGCCTCCATGGCAGAAACCTAAAAAGCAACCTTCTAACAAGGAAGACCTCAACTTGAAAATCACTACGAATTTTTTTTTTCCCAGTACATCAAGCAGTCATGTGCATCTCACTTAAAAATACTGGGATACCTTGTCATTCGAATCTGGGCAGTTTGCTGTCACTGTTGTACTTGTGGCTGCAAACCTGTGACCAGTTTTTCTCTCTTTGGGGTATGGTCCGGGCTCGATAGAGCAGCAGGTTGCTCTGCTCAGCACTTGGGAAGCAAGACCTGGAAGGCCGTTCAGACTTCCCGTGTCTTCTGAACGTCCGTGTCTTCCCAGACTCCCCCATGGCTTTGATCCTATCCAGGTTGACCCATTTGTTCGAAGCATCACATGCCATAGTCTTGCGGTGGGCAATGCCCTCAAATGACTAAATTGTTGATAGCCTTCCCCAAGTAGGGCCCCCTGGGTTGAAAAGTTTAAATTCTGGTGGGGCTTCCTTTAGTGAGCCTTACTCCAGACCCTGCACACTGTGTCCTTGTGAGTGAGATTCCAGCAGCAGAAGCCTTGTCCTTAAGTCAGAGGACAATGCCATACTGTTCTAATTATCAGAAGTTGTCTGGAAGTAGAGGCTATAAATGGACTGTTTTAGGACAGAGGTATTTCAGAGGTAGGATCATCTTACTGTATGTGGCAGACTGCCCACAGCGAACTCCTCAATGCCGTGGGATCCCGTCTGCCCCCCAGGGGCATAGCTTTCCTCTGGGTACCTTTATCCCATTGCGTGTGTGGGGTTTTCACTTCTCAAAAACGTCCTTCGTGGGTCAGAGGCTAGTCCAGTAGATAGGGTAGTGTCGGGGTCAAACCGCCATCTCGTGGTCCCCCAGCCCTTCACAAGGATTCCTGAGTGCAGAGCTAGGACAGCTCCGAGTGGCCTCTCCAGGAAAGTTCTTCAAAGCATTTTCAGTTTTGGGCAAGGCAGATAGCTTGGCCGCTGGACCATATAGTTGGCATGTAGCAGTCCTGGGGATTTGAGGAATGAGGTAAATGTACTCATCAGTCTCCCATCTTGAAAAAAAAAATAAAAGATTGGGTTTAATTTACTTAGAGTGGTTTTCCTGTTTAACTGGGGCCTGGCTTCCATGTCATAACAAAAGGGGCTTTTCTGATGGATGATTCTGACTACATGCTTGGGCGCCCCAGGTTGTCATCTGGTCTGCAGAGAGGACTATTGGGGTGGGGGGGGGCTGGGAGGGGAATGCTGTCTCCGTTCTGTAGAGCGCCTGCATAGATAATTTCTCTCCAGGCCTCAGTTTCCTGTCTGTGCAAAGGGACTTAGATCATCAGAGTACTCAGTTGGATCAGCAGGAAGGCTTAAAATGAAATTGGGTTCTGGAAAATTCCAGCTATGCTACAAGCCATGTTTGATGTTTGGTGTTTGCTCTGGTTTGTTGGTTTTTGTTTTTGCCTTTTTTTTTTTTTTTTTTTTTGTTCCTGGGCCACAGCCTAGCGGGGAACAGTCGGGCTACTTGCCTTCCATGTGGCTTGGGAGTCACCCTTGGGAGTACCAGGGAAAGTAACAGGAAAAGCTCCACCCACTCCGTGGAGCGTTTCCTGCTAAGATAAAGACAGTTCCAGAGGCCAGACCCCAAAGCAGCCTGGTCTCTGCGCCTTTTCTACAAGAATGGCTTGACACACTTCCCTGGCAGTTAAAGGGTTAATGTTGCCTCTTCTGCAGCTCTTTTTTTTTTTCCCTTTCACTTTTTTCCCTATTTTATTTTTTATTGTACTTGCTGTGGCACATTTTTATCCTAACCCTTGACTTTGTTTTTTTTTCTTCTTTTGGGCACTATTTTTTTTTTTTTAGGATAAGAAAAGCAAAACATACTGATGTGGGATTTTAAGTGTTGGCTTTTGAGTAATTCATCACCCACTTCTTTGCAAGAAATTGAGCACTCATATCATGCCTCTTAGGTGTGCACCGTTTCCCAGTTGGATTTATGCTATCCCCATAACTAGTGGGACCATTGTGATGGAAAAACATTCATCAGAAGTGAAATTCATGGGGCTGGGATGATAGTACAAACGGCTTGGGCGTTTGCCTTGCATGGGGCCAACCCAGGTTCCATCCCCAGCATCCCTGAGCACTGTCAGGAGTAGTTCCTGAGTGCAGAGCCAGGAGTAACCCCTGAGCATCACCGGGTGGGACCCAAAAACCAAAGCGGGGGGGGAAAAAGTGAAATTCACAACGGTTTTCTAGTTACTCTGAAATTGTTCCCCCACTTCCACGCATAAGGATGGCACCGAGGCTGAGTGGGAGAGTCGGTCTCACCTGTTCCATTGGTGGAAAGAGTTTTCCAGGCCCGTTCTTTGAGGTGAAAAGAAAGTCCTGAGAGAGACAGATGGGGAAACAGGTATCACAACACCCACGGACTTGACTCATGACACCGAAGGAAATGCTTTCACCCTCGTCCTCAGCTCAGCTTCGTGTCAGCAAGTACCTCGTCCACCTCGTCCACGGTGGAAACGCAAAGGGCAGCTACGCTGGACTCTGGTGCCGCCCACAGGCTTCCTCTGAGCTGTGTTGAGTAGGAGGGACAGCTGTGTGTCCCTCTGGTCTTGGTAGAAGTTCCTCCATGGATGTGGCAGAGCTGATGGACTGGCCAGTCTTCTCCCGTGGCAGGATGCTCCCCCACCCCCACCTGGTGACAGGCCCCCTCGGCTCTTGGAGGCTGAGCCCACCTCTGCGTTTATGGAGGTGCAGGACTGTAGGGGCAGGCACTTTTTTTTTTTAATTTAATTTTTTTTTTAAATTTCATTGAATCACTGTGAGATAGTTACAAGCTTTCATGTTTGGGTTACAATCACACAATGATCGAACACCCATCCCTCCACCAGTGCACATTCCCCACCACCAATCTCCCCAGTATACCCCTCTCCCCCACTATCCCCCTGCCTCCATGGCAGACAATATTCTCCATACTCTACTTTTGGGCAGCATGGTTTGCAATAGAGACACTGAGAGGTCGTCATGTTTGGTCCATTATCTACTTTCGACACACATCTCCCAATCTCCCATCCCAACCGATTCCTCCAGCCATCATTTTCTTAGTGATCCCTTCTCTCTTCCAGCTGCCTTCTCCCCTCCTCTCAGGGGGCGGGCTGGGATGGGCACTTTTTTTTTTTTTTTTTGCTTTCTGGGTCACACCCAGAAATGCTCAGGGATTACTCCTGCCTTGTGCACTCAGGAGTTACTCCTGGCAGTTCTTGGGGCACCATATGGGATGCCAGGGATTGAACACGGGTCGGCTGCATGCAAGGCAAACACCCTCCCTGCTGGACTATCGCTCCGGTCCCAAAGGGGCTGGCACTTTTGAAAGAATGACAGTAGACATGACTCAGGAACTAAGTGGGCTTATGATTTATGGTTTTCTTTTTTGAAGGAGTGCTATAACTGTTGATGCTCAGGGCTTAGTTTCTGGCTCTGCCTTCAGGGATCACTCCTGGTTGTGCTCAGGGGACCATATAGGATGCTGGGGATTAAACCCGATCTGCAGAGTTCCCGGCAAGCCCTTCCCCCCATGCTGTCTTTCGGCTCCAGGCCTTTACTCCAGCTTGGCAGTGTCGGGAAATTGGGGTTCAGGGCCGGCTGGTCAATGGGGCATGTTTTCGGCTGTATTCCAGGAGGTGGTTAGGGGCAGCAGGCAGCTCTCAGAGCAGGCTGCTGTGTGTTGTTCTCTGATGAGTTGTTACTGCTGTTGTTTTTCCTCTGTGATGGCAGGAATAACTAAAGCATATAAGCAGAATAGTATAGCATTGCTTTCGAGAAGCAGTTGTGAATTTCTAATCTTAGTGCCCAGGAGAAAAACTACTGTATTTTTTGCGAAGCTCTGAGTTCTGAAGTTTGTTGGTTTTTTTTTTTTTTTTTTTTTTTTTTTTTTTTGCTTTTTTGGGTCAAACACAGTGATACTCACGGGTTACTTCTGGCTCTGCACTCAGGAATTACTCCTGGCGGTGCTTGGGGGACCATATGA